AGCAAATCTAACTAATACACACATATATATTCCTGCTTCCTAGGCTTGCAGTTACATGTATATGTGCACAAACATGCAAGTCATGGTTGATGCGCAATACTGGTGGGGGATAGGCATTTTCTCACCTGTACTGATTTTTAAAATATTTTCTAGTGAAATAGGCATGTTGACAAGCACTGCTTTATATGAAGAAGGTAGTTTGTTTTTTCTTCCTGAGTCCAGCCTAGCAATGAAGACTAAAGGAGAAAGTGCTCTCCCACTGCAATCCAGTTCAGCACAACTCTTTACTCTGAGTCACCAATTCCATACTTGCTCTTAGATTTTTATACCACAAAAAAAAATTATTACTTCAGCCTCCTACCTCTGCCTGGGGGAGCTACCTATTAAAATGCCATTGGTGGGGCTGCAGTCCATTAGCTGTCTTACCTTTATATCCATAAAACTGCAAGAGCTGCCCAGAATTTTTACAGTCACTATCTGGGAAAGGTAGAGAGAGCCATAGAGTTATGTTTATTATATGCCAGCACTGTAACAACTGCTATGGGACTAGGATACAGAACTGCACAGCACGRCAGAGGTCACATTTCCCTGGTGATTTAAAGGTTCAGTCTTCTGCCAACTTAATTTAGAAACACAAAGCCTACCTTTGTCAGAAGAGAGTATTTTGATAGTATTTCAAAGCATGGCAATTCAATAACTAAAGATCACAAATTCAGAATCTGGAGTTCATCACCTAGCAAACTRAGGAACAATTTTTTATTTATTTCATTAACCTCTTCGTCAGATCAGCTTTGCATTCCCAGTCCTAAGTGATAATACAGTTTGCATTGGTGCTGTTGAGCATCAGGGATTTCTAACACCTTGCACTATTAGGATTAATTAACCCTTCCAAATAGCCCATCTCACAAAGCTTTTGACAGTTCTAAACCTATGACACTACACACTGCCTCTTTTCCAAGGCACAAATATGCTGCTTCACTCTAGTGTTTCTCCTGAAAATACTGAACACCTTCAAAAAGAAGTACAGGGAAGCTCATTTGAGGTCTAACAGTCTAAGACTCACAGTGCCCTGAAAGAATCAGTCAGCTCAATATGAGAAAAGGGATGAGCCAAAAATCAAAGGTGGCATTGTGAAATCTTGCAGCTTTTTTGTATCTGCACAAAAAAACCTCAGTATTATTTCTGTTCTGAAAAAGACTTTGCACAGATGCTAGACACCAGCTTTTTCCTGAGACTGAACTATCTAGTTTCCTGAGACTGAAGTATCTAGCTGTGACTTTTAGTCRCAGCTGCAGGGATGAAAGCATTTAATGCAGTTGTTTTCTTGATACAATAAAAATTTCTTGTTCTGTCTGTTGACTAGTGGTGGATTATTAGTGAATAATGACAGCACAATGTGCCAGAAAACACCAAAAAGTAAAATGCAATGCTCCTCAGCCAATGTTACAAAAAACCAATCTGAACAAAATCAACTTCTGTTGTTCTTTGGACAGCACACACCCACCTTCAGAACCAAGGCAGGCAATATATGCATCAGAACCAACCAACCAAGGAAACAAAACACTGTGCAGTCAGCACCAGAATAAAATAGCACTTTGGATTATAGAGGTGTAACATTTGAAATCTCCAGTACATTAACCTACTCTGCCCAAAAGCCACAGTTGTTAATATGCTGCAGCCAAGAGTTTCAGTTAATGCTGGGTGAAAAACCAGGACTTTTTAAAAAMACAATGATTACAAAAATAAAAGCATGATTTCTTGATGGTCTCCCTGAATCACAGTCACCTAAATAAAGCTTCAATCAAGGAAAAGCTTAGCGGGAAAGCAATCATTCTTCTTTTTGTATGTGTAAAAAAAGACCAGGAACTACAAGTAAATAGCAGCTGAGCAACAGATGAGGCTCTAAGTGAAATCTGTTAGCAACTGCTAACAGCTTTGCAATTTTCTGTTGCTAAATTAAAAAAAAAAAAAGGCAAAAATCCAATGCAGTAGCAATTCCAATAGGTTCAAAAACCTCAGATGCAAAAGACTAAAGCTCAACAATTCTTGTACTACAGATGAGTGCTTGGATTTGGTTTTAATATCTTGAAATGTTTTATTATTGATTATAAAGCAGACACCAGCCAGTTCACATGGCCACTATCAAGGTAAAACTTGTTTCAGATGTATGTGTGCCCCAGCAAATAAAGCACAAAAATCCCACGGTAGACAAGTGGGGACTTTTCCAGCAGCTGTTTTAGCCTCAAATTCTACTTTCTTTTGTCCTTTACAGGTTTCCTTTTCCATCAAGCTTTCTGCTCCACAATGTTTACATTTCTAATGCCCCCAATGTGGCAGGCTCTCTTCCTGGTTTAAATTCCTCATGTCAAAAACTGGGCTTTTATCAATTTCAAAATRCATCTACTTCTTTCTCTTAAGCTACCAAGGATTAGTAGCCATCTTGCCTGCTGCAGAACCTCACAACTTTTGTCATCTTAAACTTCTCTCTTCTCTTCCACAGATGTTCTACCAATAAAACATGCCAGTTTCATTCCCACAACGTCATTAAAAAATCTGGATGTTTCTTTCCATCCTTGTTGCTAAAATACTTATCACTCAAACCACCTTTCTGCATTTTCCTCCTCCCCATCCCTCCTGACACTCCTCATGTCACTACAAGACTCCAATTTTAAAAAGTACCTATCAAATCTAATATTTAGTTGGTATTTGACCTGTTGTAAATTCCACYATTGATTTCCTATTATTTCTTTTAAAAACATTTAGATCAATTGGTTTTGTTTTTCATGCCATATGCAGCAGTTTCTGTCTGAAAAAACACCAGCCTGGATTTTCTCATCTTGCCCAGGACAAATTGTCCCCAATTATTTTGTAAACTCACATTGGTTGCTCTTGTTCAATTTTCACTTCWCAGGTCTGCACCCTTCTTTCACTTCTATCACAGCTAGGATTCCCTAGGACTCTCACCTTTTCAGGAACGAATTTCTTTTCATGTTTCATAAATTCTGGAAAGAAACAATGACAAGGATGCAGAACCTCTAAAAACCTCACAGGTGAACTGYTCTTACCTACTCCTCCCTCTCTGTTTATTATAATGTTTTGCTTCCATCTTTGTCATTTTGTAGATTTTCAATGGTGTGGGATAGAAATTCCCATTCTGTCCTGCCATACTGGTAAATATTATTAACAATTATTGTCATCTGAGAARACTATCAATCAAAACCAAACACAAGCATATTGAAGGAAAAGATGTATTAACCTTGTGTACTACTAAAATGTGGACTATATTTGAAAAGGGGGATSACTACAAATGGTAACCTATTGTTCCCATCTTTTCATATTGATCATTAGCAAAGTTTCTGTCAACTACAATAACCTGTTTTGGATTCTGATGTCATCCTGTATTCTTTCTAGCTCAGATATCATACCCCTGTAAGACTTTGCAATTCAAACTTCGAATCTGCTGTGTATTTTCGACACATGAAACAATACTTATCCTTCTGCCAAACTTCTGAGCCCTCCCCTGCTCTTTCCTACTCATGCCACAGAGCTAAAAAAAAAGAGTGAGAATAGACATAAAGCTCAAGATACACAAGAGAGTTTTTGAAGCCACCCTCCTAATTATTCAGGGTTTTGACTACTGTTCCAYTGTTAAGTCCTATTTTTTTAAACAGTCTGAACACACAGGCATGCACAATGCACACATGTGTGTACATGCCTSCTCTGTTCCTGAAGAGCCCATTTGRAAGCAGAACTGCTATAGTCAGACACCTTCATCTTATGGACTAAGGTAACAYCTAACAACTGTTGAAATCATGCAAACCTGGCACACAGGCATGCCTGTATATTTTTGACACTATCTCCACTGTGCTCAAAAGTTGACAGGACAATTGCTGATAGATGGAAGGAAGTCAGCTGAAACCTTCCCTGTCAATATACCACAAATAATTTTACTCCAGAGGGCAAAGCAACAGCAAGTTGTAATCCAAGTTCATACATTATGTGTCCTGATGAAAATCATCACCAGTGAATGATCTTGCAGCTGAATTTCTTAGATTACTAGTTAAAGGTATCCTTGCCCAAGCAATGATTGTGGCTTTCGTATATGTGTGTCTTGTCTACAATATAGACTGATGAGAAACACCAATAGCCTCCTAAAGCTAATATTAAATGCTCAGTGCCATAGGTAACCACATGATCCTCCAGTTTAACCTCCTCCAGGTGACCAAAAAGTTTCATCTCATACCCTGTATCAAATATAAAGMGCTACTTAAAAACATTTAAATCATCAGTAGACTCAACAGGTACTAGAGGGAAGGGTGATSGCAACCAGAGTGCCTACAGCACCAAAYGTCCCAGCMACAGCAAGGAAACAGCTTGAAGAGCTTTGATGAYTCCAGAGCATCACAGAACAAACAGYCACAGCAGAAATCCAAGCACTTGCATGCTGGGCAGGGAGGACAGTRAGCTTTTGTTCACTGCAGGCAATGRCTGAAGCCGTGAAGCAAAGATTTTATCATAGATAGTGGTTTTCAGCAACTGTAAACGYTAGTAGACCTTTTCCAGTAACACAAGGAATTCTGCTCTTTTCCAGTAACACAAGGAATTCTSTCTCTTCACAGCTTGTGAAAGAAGCAGATAAGCAAGGGAAGAGAAGGCAAAGGTCTGAGTGTGGGAGCAGGTCTTGCACTACCCAAAAATACTCCCCATAAATCCTTCCCCACCGATACATGCTTGTTTTAAGCCTAAAAACCTTGAATCTTTTCTGACATATGGGAATGCATTTCAAAGGCACAAAAAGACATTTTGTCTGCCAAATGTCTTCTGCCGCAGTTAYAAGTTTGGTGTAAAAGTATAAACTGCTTTCTTTTTCAATAACATAAACCTTGTTTGAGTCCAAGTGAAATAATTTTTCCACTACTTTATGAGAGCATCGGTTGTTTCCAATTTGATAACTAGAAAATAGAGAAAGGGTGGGTGTTTTGTTTTGTAAAATGCTGTACCTCAACATGACACCAAAGCCTTTCTTCTTTTTCTTTTCTGGATCTTCATTTTCTTCCTTCCTTTTCTTCTCTTTGATTTTAGATTTGCCCTTTTTTTTCTCTTTCTCCCTATTTTTTTTGTCTTTTTTTGCTTTGGTTTCTGCATCTTCTATTTCAGGGTTCCCTGGAGGGGCAGATTCCACATTTTGAGCATCTTGACCACAGTGAGAGCTTTTATCAGAGCCACCATCTGCACAGAATGAAAACGAAGCAGTGAGGATGGCTACGGGCCACTGAAATGCAAACATGTGAAATACAGCTTGAGTGTCTACAAAGTACTCAAATGACTCACAACACTTACTCATTTAATTGAATAATTTAAAAAGCAGACTAAACAGATCTAGTGGATTCAAACAGATTTGTATTGTAAATTAAACAGAGAGTTATTTTAGCAAATTGTTTTCTACATATTATTCCTGGTATAAAAAATCCTGATACAGTAAAGCACTATTCTATCAGAAATCTAGCTTGCTAAACTCCTTCAGTTCAAGAAAACCATGTGCTGATATTCAAACACTGAGAGCTTACTTCAACAAGAGACTCTGGTTACTGACATAACCAACCTATGTAACAAAATGACTTCATTCACTSCCTGGAATCTTTCTGTTTTAGTGTATGAACAAGAACAGATAAAATGTTCTGTCTGGCTGGAAAAGAGCCATGTTCTTTCTGTTTGGGGGGCTCAGGATCCAAGCACAGTTTTACRCTCCATACTAAAAGCGATGTATTTCCAGACTGGGGTCTATAAAACCCATRGTGACAGAATGAGCAGCAGGGTGCTATCAATACACTCTGCCTTATCTACAACATGAAACAAATTTCCTGGCTGGAAAAGGGGGAATTGTAAAACAAGAGAGATAATTTTTAATGTAATCTGAAGAAAGCAGCTGCTTCTTGAAGTTGAAAAACCTAATTATTTAAGGATTGAGYTCTAAATCCTCCAACCCACCCCTGCTCCAAAGATCAATGAAATACTTTACACTAAACCCAGTCAAGGTTGGATGGGGTACTGCAAAGASAGCTCTATTCAGTGGAGGATGTGAACAGCTTTGAAAATATGATCAGCTTCAATTGGACTAAATCCCTTGCTCATGGTGCTCTATTGAGCTGGCCCCAGCAGTACTAAGTGAARGTGGCTCCCTCAGTCAGTGCCATGAGCAACTCACCCTCTTCTCCATCCTCAGGTCCATCGTAAGACTTATCAATTGCAGCTCGGAAACTCTCATTACASCCCCGACCCCGCACCACGTGAGGCCTGGGTCTGTGAAAGGGGAGCTCGTTCTTCCTTACTTCAGCCACAGCAGTCTGAAGACTCTCAAGAGAACTGGACTTCTTTAATCCCAGAGTAGGACCAAAATCTTTGCCAGAAGAGTCTGGAAAACAAATGGTTAAGTTTTTATACCAAAAACCACACAGAGAAATTAAATTAGTCAGATACATTTAACTGTGTACTTTATTACTTGGGGCTTTTGAAATAGTATGCAATCAATATAATTTGTTCTAAAAATAACATCGAGTTAAACCTAGTTCAGCAGATATCTCCATTCAGACTTGGAGGGAATGGCACATAATTTACAGACCTGACAAAGTGATGGGCGATAGCTGGCTTGCTCTGGGCCACTGTAAAGCCCACACCAGCAACGAGAATGGGGTTGTTTCTTCCCCATTCGCCAGCAATGTCCAGTTGGACTTTGCTGACAGTCTCAAGGAGAATGTAACAAACACTGCTATGCAAAAAGTTTTGCTTTTCAGAAGGAGACAGGTTGYATGAATGGTTGATATTTTCAAACACATTTCTCCTGTGAGGAGACATATTATTAGTTCTCTCAAAGTTTTATCCAACCTTTTTCTTCAAGTTTAAACAGTTTCTATGATACCAACATGCACAGCAGGTTTTTCAAGAGATAAGCAAAGTACAGGTTACCAAAAATGATGTGACTGTTACTGCCTTGTTCCCTGATTACAGGCATAAGAAAGCACTTCATAGAAAAATAGAGGAATTACTGAGTCTGCCAAACCTCCCTTCTCTTTGAATGTTTGACTATATGACCTTAGAAAGGCTTTACTTGTGGCAGCATTTGTGTTAATTAGTATTAATAAAATGATAGCGGAATAGGTGAAGAACAAAATTCAATGAATACACACACTCCAATCAATGAAGAAATTCACAGCTTAATTTAAAAGTCTTTGTAGCATCTACTTAGTTTTTATATGGCAGGACAGTAAATGTATCATAGAAACACAAGGAAGAGACTTTGACTTGCAATATACCTTCTGTCTTCGAGAATTCAAGTGCTTTTGCTTTCAACTTTTAAGCAGTACTAGCACAGAAAACACAACAGAAGCCCTTCACCTACATGTCCATACTGTCATGCCTGAAGGGATTCAAGGGTCACAGAAAAGACAGATATGTTAGTAGGATACGCTGTGATTTTCGCAATCCTATAGTGCAAATCATTCTGAACAGCATGTTCAGTGAATTCTTAAAAGCAAAAAAGCAAAGAATTGGCACCAAATAGAGACTTGTCAGTAGTGCCTACATAAAGCAATTTACACTTCCATTACCTGCAGACTGCTATGTAGCTGAAAACAAGTGSGGGATTGGAGTTGTGTGGGGAGACAAACAGGTTTAAGGGAAACCTGGCTGCTCCATCACACAGTACAACCTTCTTCTGTTCAATAATTGCCATTCTGGAGACGACCATTACTGACAAATTAGCAAGTGCTATAACAGAGGTAGAGCAATGACCTGCATAGAACGTAAAGATGCATAAAATCACTAAAAACTTTTACATCACTAAGAGGCACTGTGGTGCCTCTCTCAGGCTGAGGAGAAAAGCCAAGGGAAACATAACAGTGTAAAAAAAGGCAAAGTGAAAGGCATTGACCAGAAAGCTCTCTAAAGTTTCAGTCAGCAGCCACCCTTGGTGGGCTGTTGAGCAGGGCACGGGGCACAGCAGCCAGGCTGGGCACAAACCAAGGGCTGCCCGGGGAGGGGGTGAAGGCTGCCAGGGACCACGGGCTGGGTGCCCTGCAGGCACTGGGCCCCCAGCATACTGTGGGCAGAGCCTCCAGGGAGGAGAGTCCACCAGGAATGGCTTCAAGGCGACTGCAGAGTCTGCAAGGATGCTCTGGGCACGTCCCTGCCTCCAGCGAGGTGTGTGTGGTCCCATGGCTCAGGGAGCTCCAGCAGCCAGTGCTGACTCCCAGCTGCTGCCACAGCTGCCTGGCCAGCCAAAAAAACACAGASGGGTTCATGCACATCCCAGTGCAAGCTGTACCACACTCAGTTACTGCCCTAAGCCCCAGCACCTGAAAAAAAAGCCTCCAGTTAAATGTTGGTTACAGCCTGTTTTATAGGAAGCTGAGCCAGCTACCAAGAYGGGAAGACTGGAAGGTGTGAAGGCCATTCCTAAGAAAATCCAAGTCAATACCTGAGATTTGCAGTGACACACTCACATGTCCCATGTGACAGACAGCAAGCTGTGTGCTCAGCCTCCCCACACACACTGGGACTCTGTCATTAGGCACCCGGGCACATTACGAGGTGTCCTCATTCATTCCAAAATGGTTTACCAAGAACCTTTCCTCAGATTAGGATTGAGCATTCCGTTGACTCCTTCTAACATTAACAATTTAGTTTGAAATTTCACTAACAACAGAGAGGACTTAATATATTTTTACAATTCAGCTTTTATTCCCTTTTTCTCCCCYTTCAYTGYAGAKMMGCAGTAATCACATATTAGAGCACAGCTAAAGATAGAGGAGCTAAAGAACTTCCCTAAGCAGAGAGACCTGTCCCCTTGCTTCCTGAGCCTGCATCTGTTACTGGATGCTTTCCAGAGAAACGCCCAAGACTCCATACTGGACAAGGACTGCATCCCAAATTGGGACATTTCCTTCCCCTGCCCACCCCAATTCTGCAGTTTAGAACTGGTGTTAACCTGAAAACATGATTTTTTATCCCATGGGTAAAAAAAAAAACCAAACCAACAAACACACAACAAAACCCCTCTCTTATCTCTCAGGTTTTAACAGGCATTCCTGGGGATACATGGTGTGTGTTTATATCTAGCTTCACCTGAATTTTTAATACAAAAACATAGTTTGGCATAGAAATTCAATTGCCCACTGTGTAAAAATGATTCTTTTTATAGATTTTAAATTCTTGAGCTGTCCTTTTACTGCTTCTTGTAGTACAATGATAAAAAAAACAATTGAAGCATCCACTTTTATTGTTTTTATAAATGGTAAATTACTTTATACATCTCCACTGAATTTATAAGAGAAAACAACAACTGACATCACTACCTGCCTAGATTGGCTGAAACCAAATTCTTTGATGTTATGTGTAACTGACTATCCCTTAACTGAGAGATGGTGTTACACCTACCTTAAYTTTCTGCTCAAGGCCAACATGGCAAACATAGGTTTTTTAATCCTTAATGTACCAGTAAAAGTAAACCTGCATTGTGTTCTTTTATTATTACTGTTATTAGTCAGGTCTTTCCAGGATTATCTTTTTCCCRCATCTGCACATTCCTTTCTTTTTTGATAGCCCAGCTGAAGGAAATATGCCAAAAGCAAGATGTCCATCATGAAAATCAAAGGGAAACAAATGACATGGCATTGTGGCAATGCAAGCCACCCCAAAGGCAGTGTAAAGGGAGTGAAAATTAAGAAAAGTCTGGAATCACTGCCACTGTATATCAAATGCAACTCCCAAGACACCTTAAAGAGTAAAGACTTTATATATTTATCATTAACTTTATTTTTTAAATAATGTTTCTTCTTGAAAACCAAACTACAGGAACATGCCTAAAGAAGAATATTTAGAGGAACATATTTATGTGAGCTAAACAGATCAACCTATTTGCATTTTGAAAGACACAATGATGTAAAAAAACACTATGAAGGAAAAAAGAAGGGAAAGCATCACTGAGACTGGAAAAATAGAATAAACACCAAGATTTAACAAATTGTAAATAATTTGGCTCTGTTTTTACCAGTGCCCTAAACACACACATTCCTGGTTCCTTSTGCATTGCACATGGTGAGGTTCACGTGATCCCAGGGAAGAGAAAATGGTTGTAATAACAATGAGTGCTGTACCCTGTGGATACTGGCATGCTGGAGAGAGCATGTAGACACTCTCAGCAGGCAAAAAACTGATCCTGAAACACTAATGGTGCCTTCTTTAGTGGTAGAACTCAGAGAGAGATGTGCCAGCTTCAAAGGCAGCAGATCCAGCTCCATGCCTGCTCTGCTTTGGACACACACCTTGGGTAACACTCACAATGTCCAACTCACTGAACTCAGTCCTACCCCAACCCAACTGATCCAAATGCTCACTCCACAAGATTGCAACATCATGTGGTGATTTAAATTACTTCACATTCCATTCTTTCTTAAACATTTTGTTTAAGGTAGTTTCATTTATTTCTGGTATTTTCACAGTATGCATAACTACAAAGGATTTTTTTCCTCTCACATTTTTATATTCAGATCCTTCTTCAATCAACCAATTCAATGCAGAGAATGATTTAGGAAGGAGGAATCTGAAAGTCATTACATCTTTTAGCTTGTGATTTTCAAATGAAGAGCTTTAATATAACWCTTCTGTAGAAAAGACTTAGATCACACTGTAGCTTTTTCTTCAACTCTAGTTTATGCAGGTGGCATTAAAAAGATTACTAAGGGCTTGATAAAAAGCAAGAGAAGAATCACTATCTCGCACTTATATATTAAAGACAAGATATATTAGTTTTGCTCATTTTATACCTCAATCCAAGCATTCCRAATTATAAGCAGAAATACTGAACACAGAACAACCCCACAATGGACAGGAAAAAAAAAAATAAAGARAAATCGAAGCATAGGAGAATTTAACATGTTCTCTGATTATAAGAGACACTACAGTCTTCAGATTTACCAATATTTAATCTATTTTACTGTACAAAATRATAGCAATTTATCCCACATGTGCASAAACTSCAATTTCAGCTATGAATAATGACAGTTCACAATTCGGGGCCCAGAAGGTATGCTGAGCTTTAGCCAGCTGAAATGTTTGGAATAAGGTAGCCATTAGGCAAAAAGTGAAAATGCACTACTGTCATCTTAGAAACTATGCTGGTGTTGCTGTTTTCTACAGTCTTATCACTAACAAACAACATTGCACTGAAAYGTGCTAATATTTCAAAAAGAATATGTATGGCATTAAATATCTCAAAAAAGCTAGCAAATTTCACAGTGCAACAATATTAAAGCTAAGAATTAGAAGCAAAGGCARAGGTTCAAGCAAAAGCCTCAGTCAAGGGGCGTGGGCACTTCCCAGGTTAGTGCTGAATGTCAAACAAAATGCAGCCAAGCC